TATCATTTTAATTGAACAGTCACGCAACAAATGCTGATCATGCTGAACAGCCCAAAGGGTCTTCCATCAAAGAGCCTGCTGGGAGACAGAGAGAGATAGCTTTACTCCAACGGAAGCTTACTGAGATGTTGGTTTACACAAGCTTGGTGTGTCTCGTAGGGAGGAAGAGAGACTTCCATTTCCTGTGGAAATTAGGAGGATGTCAGTGAGGAACTGGCCTCTGGGATGGACCTTTCTTGGTGGTGGAGGAGCTTGTATGTCAGGGAGGGGCCATCAGCTGCAGCAGGGTGGAAGAAGGAGGGGGCGGTACGGGGGTGTTCAAGGAAGTGACTTTAGCCTTGGTGCCTCTGAGGGAGAGAAAAGTGGTCACAATGAGGAAGGCAGGGGCAGGCCTTAGACTGAGGACACAGGTCTGTCCTCCAGGCAGACAGGATCCACTGGGGCTGTAACAGGCAGGGCTGCTTCCGGCTTGTGTTCTGGAACTAGAGCCCCAACATTCTCCACCTTTCCCCGGTGCTGAAATTACACAAGGGGGATCTTCAGAAAACTGCTTGACCTTGTGGGAAAGGACTTGGAAAAGAAATATTGTATATATGAAAAAATATTTTTCAAAAAGGGTGCGGACCTGTTATTAAGATCCAAAGATGAAGCTGGGCAGTGATGCCAGAACTCAGGAGGCAGAGGCAGAGGAATCTTTGTGAGTTTGAGGTCAACCTGGTTTCCAGAGCAAGTTCCAGGACAGCCAGGGCTACAGAGAGACCCTTGTCACAGAAAAAAAAAAAGAGAGAGCACCGAAGATGGATGGAGCAAGCAGGCACCCGCTGCGGGAGCCCCAGTGTGTCGGAGCAGTTCCACTGAAGGTGCAGCTTGCCCGGTGCGGCCTCCTCCACTCTGCACCCCGCCACAGGGACGTGCTCCATCTCACACACAGCACTTTCCACTCGCGCTTACTCTTGGAGAAGTACATTTTATGGGTTGGACAACAGAGGAGGGCAGGTGCCTTCAGTCACAGCACCACACTGAGTCGATTCTCACACAAGGTCAGCTTTCCCCTGGAGTCCTGGGAGCCGCTGACCTTTCTGTCTTCATTGTTTTGTTTTCCAGAATGTACTTTGATTCCCATAAGTGTGTATCTGTGCCTCCTCCTCCTCCTCCTCCTCCTCCTCCTTCTTCTTTTCCTCCTCCTTCTGTTCCTTTTTCTTCTCCTCCTCTCCCTCCTCCTCCTCCCCCTACTTCCCATTCTCCTCCTCTTCATTCTCCTTCTTGGCTCCATAACTCATTTTTAGGGCTGCATGATATTCCACTCTCTGGCTGTACTACAATGTATTCACCTGCTAAAGGGCATCCTGGTTGTTCTGAGTTTGGGTAAAGATGTATAAATCTGCCATCGCCATCCCCACAATAAGTTTTTGTGTGGATGTAGAGTTTCAACTCCTCTGGGAAGACTCCACAGAGTATAGTTGCAGGATCATATGGTAAGATCAGTTTTTGCATTTTTCTTGGTAATATATAATTGTGTTTAAATGGCCTGTATATATTACACAGAAATGTCACTTATAAGTTATATATAAATTCACTTCTAAAAACAGAGTGGTACTTCATTGCAGAGTGCTTAGAAAGCCATCCAATAAATCTTCCTCTGATGAGGCCAGCATTGCCTCAGACCATTCCCAACTCGCCAGGGTTCATGGCAATGCTGAGCCACTCCCCATTTTCCTGTGACATAACTGTTCTCAGACAGCCTGTATATCAGACTGTAGGAAGGTTTGATAGAACGCATATCGCTGGGCTGCAAACACAGCATTCTTGGATTTTCTAGTTTGCTTTCGGTGGCTGTGATAAATATCATGACCAAAGGCAGCCTGGAGAGGAAAGAGCTCCTTTGGCTTACACGTCTCCATCGCAGTCCATCATTAAGGGGAGTCGGGGCAGAACTCAATAGCCAGGGACCAAGGAAGATTGCTGCTTACTGGCCTGCTCCTCGTGGCTTGCTCAGTTTGCTTTCTTATACAACGCAGGACTACCTGCTAAGGGGTGACACCACCCACAGTGGGCTGGGTCCTCCCACATCAGTCACAAATCAAGGAAACACCCTCACAGAATTGCCTATAGGCTACACTGTTGGGACATTTTCCCAGTTGAGATTCCCTCTTCCTGGCTGACTCTAGAATGTATCTAGTTGACAATAAAACCAGCCAGGATGCTACATTTCAGTGGTCTGAGTGTTCACATCTCTGCCAACCTCCAAGCGATGCTGTGACTGGTCAAGGGGCCATGATCTGAGAATCTCTGCCTTCAGAAGGTGAACAATGCCCCTGAGATAGAGTTCAGGCTTGGGAGGGGCCTTGCCAAAGCTCTCAGGGACTAATCTGCTATCTCTTTACGATCTCCATGAAAAGTTGGCTCAGGCATGTCCTGATGTTCTGCTGAGTGGCTGGGGCAGGTGTTCAGTTCCTTGCACTTTCCTTTTGATAGCTTGGTCCTCAGTCTAGTTAGTCTATGAGGTGACTGACTGACCAGCAAATTGGGAAATACGACTCAGACTCCTGTCGAAGACAGAAATCTTAGCTTCAGAGTGAAAGCAGAGCCACAGCATGGGGTCATGTGCAGAGTCAAATGCTTGGAGCCACCACGTCTGACACACGGAGAAATCAAAGGCAGGTGTGGGGTGCTGGCTTAGAGATGGGGTAGGGGCTTGGAAGCGTAGACGGGTCCCACCTCCTCTTCTCGAAGCCTGTCATCCTATGATCTAGGAGACCTTTTTTTCCAGCTTTGGCAGACGCAGAGCAGAGCCCTCAGGATCAGACAGTTGCAAAAAGTAGGTCTGGCTTTGGGTTTCGCAAAGAAACAGAAGAAAGCTGGGACGCTCCAAGATCCGTTCTGAGTGTAATTACCACAGCCAGGACAACAGTGCTGTTTGCTGAAGTATCTATCCATAGCCAGCTGATCTCCCTGCATTGCTGGCATGAAGCAGCTACGGCAGTTGCCACATCACCTGCAACTTCTGATGCTGGATAAGAGGAAGCCAGGCTCTGGGTTTAGGTCCCCTTTCTGCCTTCAAAGCAGCCATCGTGCCCAGAGTGTCCTGGCATCTGGTACCTGGACACCAGAGGGCGCTGAGGCACCAGCTCATTCCCAAAGGGTTCCTCAAACCAAGGATTCTGGTCTAGCAGAACCACACAGGCTGGAGTCCCTGCAAACTCAGGGTTGTAAGCAGCATGCTGAATGAGGACGTTGTAGGGATGCTCACTCTGAATCGCCACTAATTTTCAATAGCTTTGCCCAAGGTAGGAAATGAAGGCTTACTGCTTGCCGTCCTCATGGATTTCCAAACATAATCTGATTTCACTAAAGCTCAAACATTGATTTAAAGGAGCCTTAAAAACAAGAAAAAAGTGATAGGGATAGTTCAGATAAATCGTGCTGTGATCCAGGTTGACATGATTTTTGGCCATTCCATGTATTAGTTGGGGAAATCTGGGTGTCCACAATACCCACAGGTATGAATTTTTTTTAACCTAATTTCAGGTTAGGTATCATCAAAGGAGTCTAATCTTCTTGTTTGAAGCAAAACATAAGTAATAATTATTATTTAGAATCAGTTTTTCATGTCCATGGGTGACTCGGTGTGTGTGTGTGTGTGTGCGCGCGCGCGCACGCGCGCACCAGGGAGAAAGAAAAAGAGTAGAGATTCATACAATCTGACTTGTCTGTGAATATACAAAGCTCCAAAGAGCTGGGATTACAGACAGACATCATCACATCCAGTATACTTATGTGTGAGGAGTAAATGTATGTATGTCTGTTTACATATGTGTATACATATTTACATATTAAACAGCATCTAACCTGTTAGGGTGCAGTTTTCTATTGTCACCGGTCCTTAGCACTACAGTGCACCAACTATTTATGCAGCATTTACATGGTATCAGGGACCATGGGTGATCAAAAGGACACAGAAGATACATGCAGGTTGTAGGCAGACACTATGCCTTTTTATAGAAGGAACTCAAGCATCCATTGATTTGGTAGCTGGAGGGACTGGAGTGATCCTGAAACAAGCACCCTCAGGTGCTGAAGGATAACTGTGCTTAGCACATACATGGACCGTGGATTGTGTTGTCTGAGGTAATGATTTGCGTGGGTTTTCTTGTCTAGCTTTACCAAAGCCCTCAAAGAGACAGAGTTTGGCAAATAAGGTTAGGATAGGCAGAGGGGAACAAATCAGCTGGGAAGGGGTTGTGTGCAAGGGAAACCCGGGTCGCTCTGGAGGCAGCTGAGGCCCATGCTCTCAGCCTTCATGAGCACAGCAGGAGCTGCCTGCCCTTCCCGGCCAGCAGCATTCTGTCTGTCTGTATGCCAGCAGCAGCAGGTGAGCTGGGGAGGGAATGTGCTTAACAAAGGAGAGGGAATGTTTCTTTGTAGAAACCAAACCAAAGTTTGGAGGAGGATAATCTAATTTCAGATATTCTGCCATACCTGTCTTCAGTTTATTTATAAACAATGGGCCAAATGAAACATCCTGATTCCCAGTAAACTGTAACACTGACAGTATTTTAAAGCTGAATTTTGATGTTACATAAAGGATCCAAAAGTGTACGCCGGACTTGGCAGTGGCCACATCAGCCACATTGTGAGGTAACAGGTGGAAAGTGTGAAAGCAGCCTGCAAAGGCCATGTGTGATCAAGACGGAGAGCACCTCCTCATTCTCTCTCTCTCCCATCCCCTCCTTTTCCAGGGAGAGGCATTGTGGTTAAATTAAAAACAAACAATATGGAATCAAAACTACATCCAAACCTCCCCTGCCCACTAGCTAGCTTCACAGCCTCGAGTAAGCTGTTTCACCTCCTAACGCCTCCCCTGGTTTCCTCACAGCTGAAATGGACATGTTTCATCATACTGAGTAGGTAACAAGGACACCTACCCCCATTCGTCATGTGCTATGAGCTGAGACTGTGTTCTCGGCCCTTTTCACTTCAACATCATATCCTCCCTAAAGACCACGGGACACAAACCCTGTTGTCTTCCCGTTTATGGCTGAGGAAACAGAACCCCCAAAGTCTCAAGGATAGCCTGCCCGCCCCCTTTGCAGAGCTGTCCTGTAGCTGGAGTCTAAGCTTGCTCTTGGCCTCTGCACCCACCGACCGATCATCAACGAAGCGGCCCTTGCCAGTTGACCACAGAGGGCTGTAACTCACGGATGTGTGCACTGGAAAAAGGCGATCTGTGACGACAAAGAGGACTTCTTCTGCCCCATGGTTACTCAACGAGGGAGTGAATTTCACCCAAAAGTAGAAAATGAGAGTGGGGAAAGAGACTCCAACGTTCTTTCCTTTCTCTGTGTGCACAACTTCCGGTTCCCGCACCCTTTAAAGGCAGCCTCCTTCCATTCTGTTGCTAACACCATGAGGCTCACAGGGCAGACTTCTTACCGTCTCCCTTTTACTGAAGATGAAAAACGCAGGCCCCGACAGCTCAAGGACCAGCCAAAGGCCATTGACAACGCTGCAGGGTAAATTTAACAGGATTGTCACAGGATTAAAAGATGCAAGTCATGGGTGAGTTGACAAGGTGACTGGCGCGCAGCGGGCTCTCAACAGCTACTTAGTGGGAAGGGCTTGCATTCCGGCTTCCTCCGAGCATGGGCCTGCCACCGTGTGGCCCAAGGGTTCGCCTCAGCGGAGCCCTACAGGGCTCCGTCTTCACAGCCAGCGTTCAGGTGGCTCAACTTTAAGTTTAGATACTCGTATTTGCCTACACGCTCTTGAACTTGTGCCTTTGATTTCATTCACTTGATGTAGTTCTTGCTAACGCGGGTGAGCATTACAGTTCAGGTGATTCCAATGCATGCACTCTGGAGTGGGGCAGGAAATGTCACCCAGGTGTCTACCCACACGGTGCTCTCTGCTGCTGGGCTGACCTTAAGACTGGAAGTGTTGGTGACACAGAGTCGTGTGGTTCAAAGGGGTGACTAAGTAGATTTACCCCAGCGCCTCCCAGGAGGCGTCCTGGGAAGTCCGGCTGTGGATCTAGGATATTGGATGCAGGACTGAACGCCTTTCCGTTGAGTCTGCATTTTTGTATCAAATGTCCATTACCCGTGTAATTTTGATTGCCATGGAAAAGGAATTATAGTACACTTCAGAAAGGTGACCATTTCCCATAAGGCAAGAAGGAAGTTGTTTGGTTTTGTTTTTCTGAACACCGTGGATTGCTTTCTGATGACTATAATAAACAGAGCATCCACTTTGTGCCAGACACAGGCTTAAGGATTGAGCCCACCATCAATTCCCACAAGCTTGTTAGATGGGTATTAAGACCTGTGCCCCCCTACCAACAGCTGCATAAGGGGTACAAATGGGGTCTGAACTCAGTGATGGCTCCCCTTGTTCCTGGTTCAGATCTGGTAAGGTGGAGAGACCCGACATCTGCTGCTCTTGACCAGCTGTGCCCTGGATGCTGCTGCCAGGCTTTCTCCTCTGAACCTTGCTTGAAGATGGGTGGGGCAGTCAGTTCTCACTATTCAGCTGCAGAAGCCATTTTGCAGTCTGTGCTGTCTGCCTATGTAGTCTCACAGCCGTGGCCAAGCACCAGACCCTTCCATCATGCTCCCTAGTCACTGGGAACACTGCCCACAGTCGGTCAGACATACTCATGTTAAAAGCTGGGAGCAGAAGTCACAGAACATGCCCAGAACAGGCTGCATCTGCCCAGGAGGCCGTGCCCTCTGCAAAGGAAGTGCCTGTCTGCCGGGCTTCCCCACACAGGGTGACATCAGAGAGGCCCATCATCTGATAGTTAACCGCTCATCCTGCTGGCAGGTGGAAGGCAAAACAGAGTTAGAGTTTAGTGAGCTTAATCTACTCAATAATAAAAATAATAATGGCCCAATTAATAGCAATCCTGTGCACTTTTATGAATGCTTTCATCTGAGAATCAAAGTGGTTTGGAGGAGCAACCATCATTAGGCTGATTTTACTGATGAGGAGAATTGACATAAAGAGGTTAAATGACGCGCCCAAGGTCAGAATTTGAGTCAGCTCTGGAACCCAAGAGAATGCCTGCTCAGCCAAGCATTTGAGCTCGCTCGCTCTCTCTCTCTCTCTCTCTCTCTCTCTCTCTCTCTCTCTCTCCCTCTCTCTCCCTCCCTCCC